TCATATGCTCACACTTAAAATTAAAACTAATAAAATTTTGTTATAACTGAGAGCTTATAATGATTGGTTATATGACAAAATTATAACATTATTATCTTTTTTATCTTATTAATTTTTACTTTTTTATACATATTTTACAAATGATAAATTCAAAGTAATTTTGACATATTTAAGTATAATAATTTATGCTTAATTTAATAATATTAATTATAATAATTGTTATATTATAATTTATATTAAGTAAACGCCTAATTTAATTGATTAAACAATTTATAATTAAATATCAATCAATTTAATAATATATTAACTGTTTATTTCAAAATATAGTATACTCATATTAAAAATAGTGTTATTTCATGTCTTAAAACTTGTAATAAGAAAAACATATTTAAAAAGAATGTTCCAACAAATTCAAAATATTGACAAAATAAATACAATGTTGATAATTATTTTAGAAAGATTAAATGTTACATTATTATTTTAAAATATTGTTTCAATGCAAAAACAAATGAAAACAGTTATAATGAAAAAATTAATTATTGATAGAAGAAATTATATTTAAATTAACACATAAAATTATAAAATTATATATATTTAATATATTTTTTATTAGATAAATTTTAAATAATTCACTTATTTACTCGGGCATCCTGTAGATTAATGTCACTATTATTTTGTTCTTGTCATAGTAGCGAGAGATTCTTATAACAACTCAACACAAAATAACAGACTTAACCTAGTTCAATATAAGTCAATTTTAGTGTGAGACAATTCTACAAATATCTTGACATTGAATAAAGGTATACTGGCCTATAATATAAGTTTGAGTGCAAATATCAATGTTATGTTTTGAGATTTTGGCTAAGTAGCTGTAATATGTGTATGAAAATTGTGATTAAATTGAAACTCAACTATGAAAATTGACTTACGAGTTACCAACATCATTGAGACATATTACATTCTTGTTGTCATATACAAATTTGGGTGCCAGGAGATCATGCATGTATACAGTCAAGTCTCGCGTGTATTTTTATTTTTCAAGTAATCATTTTTTTTTTATAATATACACACGTGTATACGTACGCATGTATAAATTAAAATTTAATATTCATTTAATGCATTAGATTTGGCTGGGTTGAATTTTAATCACTAAAATTTAATATCACATTCAAAAAAAATTGGGGGTTGAATTTTATTTAACATTAAAAATAATAGACTTAAACTGTTTGGATTAAGTTAGATATGGGTCATACCCGTAAACACCTTCTCTATTATGTTTTTTGTCTGGATGAGAGCATGTCATGTCTCAAACCTAGGACCTAATAGTGGTTATGTAATGACCAAAGTGCAATGTTATTTCTTCCGAAAGAAATATTCAAAAATTTATTCAAACATTTAATATGTTTCTCTTTTTAATTATTTAAGATTGAGGAGAGTTGAATTTTTTCGGATACATTCTTTCATATTCATAATGCATGCATGTATTAATGATAAATAATCCATTTAAAGTGAATCTAGATAATTTTAATATATCTTAGATTAATAAATTTAAGTTTAATTTAATTTTATAAAATTAATTTATAAAATAAAAATTAATTTTTATTTATATATTATTTAATTATCTAATTTTTAATAGATTTGAAACTAAAGATTTTTCCATCTACTCAGCAACCAAATATGACAGAAACCTGTGGTGTGGTACTGAACAATAGTGTATGTACAGCAGTACTAGTGCAGTGCACACGACAGTACAACACAGGGGAGCGCAAAGTCAATAGTCAATACTGAGGAGAAAAGTAACCAAAATAAGCGTTCCAGCCAGCTGGGAAGTGGGAACCATAGCCATAGAGTGCCAACCACCCACTGTGCTACTCAATTTGCTATCTTACAATTATGATGCTGTAATCCGTGTTCTGACAGAAAAAATAAATTATAACTCTTGATATAAGTATATTCCATGAAATAAATATCAATAAAATAATCCAATCACTTTGGACAGTCGTGTAGTAAATGTTAGAAATCAGTATTTTAATTTAATATTTAAATATATATATCCATTTGTTATTCCTTCCAACATGAATATGGATGTTACTTTTTCCGAAGTGTCTTGCACGTTCAGGTTCAGTATCTTTCTCTTGGCCTCCAAGTTTAGATTAAATAATAATATTTTCTAAACACGTGACTACTTGTATATATATAAGGCCTAGTAAAAGATAGACACAAAAAAAAAAGTTTATTTTTATCTTTTTTTCAATATTATTTTTACTACAAAATTATAATCTTGGAGCGATGTTTTTTGATTCAGAGATTTTTTACTGCACTTGAACGGTCCAACAGGTTGACGTATCTTGGGAAAGGAGCGCTCAAAATTACCAGTGCAATGGGGGCGTTTTCTCTCTAAGGATAGCGCTCTGCGTGCTTCAACCCAGGCTACTCTAAACTTCTTGTTAGTCAAATAGCCTCGTATAACTTAAGAGGGGGAGGGTGAATTAAGTTATCTAATTTTTCTTCTCTTTATAAGTTTTTCTAACTTCTTTCTTATAAATTCAATATCATAAACAACCTGTATGTAATGATGGAAAAACTTCACAACAAAATTAAAAGTATAGGGAAAGATTTTATACTGGTTCAGCCAACCTTGCCTACATCCAGTCCTCAAGTCTCCCACTTGAGATTTTCACTATGCTTGTAACTTTTACAAGACTCAAATTCTCCAACACCTGGAAATTCCCTTTCCTCGTGTTGAGAATCACAGACTAATCAAGGAGAACAACACTTTCTCCTTTACAGATCAATAGATGATTTGAATAAAGTAGAACAACTCTCTTTTAAAGAGTGGATTTTACACTTTGTTGATCTAGTAGAACTCTTTAGATAATGTTTGCAAAATGATTTTGGCCAAGTGATTTGTAAAGATAATTTTCACAATAAAGTTCATAACCTTTTTCTGAAAAATTATTGGTATTTATAGATGATTGTTTCTTAAGTTATGACTTTTCATGAAGAGTTGTGACTTGCTAAAATTTTTCAGAAAATAAGCTTTGATAATCGATTACAAGACTTGGTAATCGATTACAACGGTTTAATTTCAAAATGTTTGGAACGTTGTATAATTTAAATTCAAATTTTGAAATTTTATCTTCTAGTAATCAATTACAAGGAATGGGTAATCGATTATCATAGCACGTTTTAATAAGTAAATTTTGAACATATGAGTTTCATTCTTTGGTAAACGATTACATGTAGTGGTAATCGATTACCAGACTCCTAAAATAATAATTACCTTATTAAAACTTAAGATATAGAAAACTTCTATTTTCAAAACCTTATTTATATAAAAAAGATTATATTTGGGTTTTCTTTGAAATTTTTTATTTTAAATGGCCAAGAATCTTATGCAATATTTCTAAAAATTTCTTTTTACATATAAAGCTAGGTTGACAAGACTTATCTAAAATACTTTGAGATTTTTGTTTCTTGATCACCTTGCTTTAACTTGACCTCTTGTTTTCTACAATTTCTTTGGCATCATCAAAATCTTTTACATACGTTCTTCCACACTTCTTATTCAATAATTGTATTTACTCTTTGTGTTTAACTAGTTGTTACTGATTGCTCTGTTTTAATTTTATAATATTCATTGTGTTGTTGATATTAGTTTTATTGATAAATCTAAATATTTATTTTTCTTGTGCTCTATTAAATTTATTTTCCAACAATCTTAGAGAGAAAAACCTTTTCTTGTTCAATATCAACATGTCTGCAATGGACATTTTAAATTCTTTGAGTAGTAAGCCAGAAAAATTTAATGGTGAAAATTTTTTATGTTGGCAACAACAGATGAAATTTTGGCTTACAGAGTTGAGTTTATTTTCTGTTATTTTAAATGGAAAATCTGAAAACTGTTCTGATTGTGCCTTGGTTGAAGCTAGTTCTTCTAGTGATAAAGATATTTTGTGTCATGGTCGTATTTTGAGTGCTCTATCTGATAATATTTATAAAATATTTTGTCATACAAAAATTGCTTTGGAGTTATGGGACGTTCTTGAACTAAAGTATGGTTCTGCTGAAAAGAGTTTAAGAAAATACTCTTGTGAAAGAATGATTTATTTTCAAATGGAAGATGGAAAACCTTTCTCTGACCAAGTTCATGAATTTGAAAATATTATTTATGATATGAAAATGAAAGAAATTACTTTGCCTGACATAATGCTTGTTAGTTTATTAATTTCTAAATTGCCTCCTTCTTGGTCCGAGTTTGCAAAAAGCCTTAAGCATAAACCCGATCATTTCACTTTACCTGATTTATTGGTTACCTTGTGAATTGAACATAAACATTGTATTTCACAAAAGGATTCTAATAAGACCGCTTTTCATGCTGAGGCTCATTTAGTGGAAAACGCTAATAAGCCTAAACAAAATTTTTTCAAAAAATCTGGTTTTTCCAATAATAATAAATTTGGTCAAAGCTCTCATTTCTTTAAAAATAAAAATAAAGCTTTTAATAACAACTACTAACCAAAGAGTAAAATTCAAGGAAATGAGTCCTTTTGCTTTGTTTGTGGAAGAAACAATCATTTTGCTAAAGATTATTTTCATCGTCGTCGTCAACCAAAAAACATTATATCTGATCCCAAATCTTCGTCTCAGCCTCAAGCTAATGTTATTTGTTACGAGACTTTAACTTATTTGTGAAATTGATGTATTTTAAGTTATTGATTATCTTGTATTTTTATTATTATTTTAATAAAATTAATATTAAATACAAGTATTGCTGCTAGGTTGGAAACATTAACATAAAATCATTCAATGTAACTATTAAACAGGACTTGCCAGCGAATTTAGTGCATAAGGTTACAAACTAATAGTATAAATGAATGTATTTTTTTGGAATCTGTAGATTTTCGTCCGATTTGAATTTGCATCTACCATCTATCAATTCACATTTTTTAATAGAAGCTTTATATCATAAACAGTACAGATTCAACAAGCATCAACTATTAAATCACTGTGCTATCAGCCACTTCGTCCATTCCCATTCTAGCAACCTCTTCATTTTCCCTCTCATCTTTCTCAACCTTTAATCTCTGTTTGAGAAGAGTAAAAGCTTTAGTTACAAAATTACAATTTATGTGGAAGCAAGAACATAGGGTGTTTATAATGACAAACAAAACAAAGTAAGAACAACATAATGAAAAATAGAAGAAATGATATATAAATCCTTAAGTGACATGGGAATTGTTCAAGTTTTTCTCTATTCATTGCCCCCATCAAGGCATCAAGCCAGACTAGGAAATTCCATATTTCTGTAGCACCCATGTTAGCTTCATAGATCCACAAGCAATCATTAGATAAAAATAAAAAATAAAAAAAGATGTCCACATTAGACAATGTGTGAGCCTAGTGATCTAAAATAGATCCTCTCCTTGTTAAGATTCGGTCATTGATGGACAATCCAGTAGTCCATACACAATCTTACTGTAGAATTACACAACAATAATTGGGTTCCCCATCAGCCCCAAAATCACATTTTATATATCCATACCACCATAGGTCCTTACCTAAAATTGATTGTTAAATGAGCATGTTTTCTTCCTCTGTCTCTCTCTCTTCATCTTTTCCTTTTCTAAAGAAGTATGTCAATTATTTTGAGCCTAATTAATTGTACTCAATTTTAGTCATTAAGTCTAAACAATATTCACCTTTATAGCCATAGACGAGTCCTTTGTTTTACGGGCAAACATGTTTTCGTATAGATTAGCATCCTTTTTGTCACTGTCAGCTTGAAGTTGCTTCAACTTCTTCTGAATTACCTTTACCTCCCTGGAAATTGAAAAATAATGTTTCAGTAATAAAAACCATTCATTTTAATCCATCAGTAGTTTCATTTTTGGAGAATAAGCCCTTTAACATACCTGTTTTGTGGGTCCACCTCGAGAGCTTTCTTGATTTCTACATCTGCTAAAAGGAAGTCACTAGTTTCTATATATGCTTGTGCTCGTCTGTAGAAGGCTTTCACATTGCAAAATTCAACATCAAGCACCTGAGAGAAAAGTAAGAATTGCAGTATTAGCCACTCTTATAACATCTTAGAAGTTGAATGATGAGATGATATTAATCCATTTCCTTGTTTGCACTCCAACGAGTGCATTATACATGAAGCTTACAAGTTACAATAAATGTAAAAAAAAAAATTAAAAAAATCAACGTGACTGATTTATAAGTTCACCAGTATCTGTATATGCCAATATAATGATTTTCTATGCTCATACTCTGTAGTTACATTTAGGCATTGTCATTATTCATCTAGAAATTGAGAAGACAGTGTGAATCTTTTCATAATTGATACATATAAGTGCCTTTAGCAGACAATAATATAAAAACATTGGTTACATTTTAAAAACTTAAAATATGTAAAGAACAATCTCAACAGAACTAGTGTTAAAACCCCCCTCAACTAGTACATTACATCCATTTATGCACAATCAGCTGATGCAACAACTTAGCAGCACATATATAACTGTGTGTGAGGAGACATAATGGCAAAGTTAGTGCATTATTGACCACATCCACGTGATCAAGAGAGATAAGGGATTTTCATTTAAGTTGTAACTGTCCAGAGTCTAGATCAGTGGAAAGATAGAGTGAGAAAAGTGTGAAGCCTGCTAAAGTGTGAAAAGCAGAATGGGCAAGGTTGCAAGAATTCAGAGGGGAGGGTGGAACTTCTGAGGGAGCGAGACCCACAAAAACCAAGCCTAGTTACAATAATGATCCATATCCTTTTCTTTCTTATTTCCGTTTCTGTAATCACGGTTAATTCCTAGTTTTTTTGCAATATTTGAAAGAGTTTCTACCAGACTATTTTGTACGAGTTAGTTACTTCAAGTAACTCAACATATAATTCAGAAATAGAAGACCATGACTCTTGCAAGAACTATTTTGATTTCATTTATATTAGGAGTCCCACATTGAGTAGAATATGAAGTTCAATGAGGTACTTAAGTCTTGAGGCTCTCCTCTAATGGACTAGCCTTTTGGATTGGGTTCTCCTCATATACTTCAGTCCTAACAATTTACCTTCCAATTTTCTAATACCATACAACTTGTTATCACTTCTCCCACCCATATTTATTCTCTCCAATTAGCCAACCTGCTCACAACATTGGCTGCTTCAAATCTTAGGCGTGACGCGTGACATGATTCAGTTGATTGGATGTTGTTACCTATGAACATAGCTTGATTGCCTCAGAAAAGTCATTAAGTTTAAGGCTACAAGCTGCACAATTCAACCAGCATGACACTCTCACTGCCTTAGCTTCCTTTTTCTCATCATCAACAAAAGATCCATCTTTAGTAACAAAATCAGCAGCCTGAGAGAGAACAAGGTATCATGGATTTGGCAGAAGTCATGAACTACAGGAATCTTAATGAAACTTAAAAAACCAAAGCCAAAGCAAGTCAAGGATTTACCTTTTCATACTTCTTCCCTACTCGCTGATAATTGCCATCTTTAAATAATACATTTCCTTCTTCTTTCTTCCTCCCAGCCACCTCAATTTTTTCCTTACTATTCAATTCCCACGGTGCTTTCTCCTTTAAATCAAATTAAAGTTAGAAGTATTGAAAGCAGTACTGCATGAGAAACTATACATATATGTATGCACAGACAAATTATATTCTGCAAGAGAAACTAAAGCTTAGTGCAAGTCATTTTGGGTTTCTCCACTCTACTGGGGAATGATACAAGTTTCTATCATAGTCTATAGGAAAAACCAAGATCTTCAATTTCTCAATGGACATGGTGGAAGATTTTTGTTTTTTCTTTTACAATAAAATTCATCATCTCAATGTCATAGACTACATTTAAGCCTGGTGGCACAATAGCCAAATCTCGTCTCGCTTCAACATTTCCAAACGCATAATCAGGATGTATGCTAATTAGGGCCCTCTCACCCTTCTTCATTGTTGCCACTGCTCGGTCTAGACCAATAATCACTTGTTCTACAGACAGCAAAATAAAAATTCTATTATCATCACTTCATATATGTCATAACCATGAACACAATAATCATCAGTTCATCATCAAACAAATGGGAAAATGCATGTCTTGAAATTATGAAGTTTTAAGCATAAGGAGAAAGAGAGATAAGAGAAAACGAAACGCCAAATTACTATTAACTGTATCACACCATGTTGATGTGTTTGATAAGTTCATAGGAAAGCCAATCATGATGCGATATGGAAATATGACAATCAATCCTAAAAAATGATGAAGGAAAAGGAAAACTAATCTAAGAGCATAACCTATAAGGTATTTTCATATATTGCAACAACATACAAAAGAGTGTAGTTAACATAGGATAAGAATAAGCTCACCCTTATCAGTTATGAATTCCAAGGGTTGTGTGTTTCCTCAATTCCTCTTTTCTCAAATACAGTGCCATCTTCTAGCATAGCTGTGAAGCTGACTGCCATAGCAATTTCATCAAAAGCAACAAGTAAAATGACGTTTCTTTTTCTTTGACTTCAATTTGCACAATAAATAAAATTATAGTCATATTACCATCTTACATTGAAGAAACAACAAACTTTATATACCTATAATGGGAGTGTTATCACAGAAAATCATTCTACAAAGAAGCTACATACAATTTACATGGTGCAATTTGTATACACTAGCCAATGTATCTCTTTTATTTGTGTGTGAATGTACTTTAGTGGCCTGTCTAAACTCAGAAGCTAATACATTTCCTTTAATGTTTCTTTTCTTAAAATGTGATTGTTGAGTAGTATATAAGTGAAAAAAACTCACCTATCTAAAATCTTAAAATTTTAGGTTATGTTGTAGTGTCAAACTCATTTATGTAATTTACTTACTACCTATTGAATGAAGTGCTCCCCAAGGTAAAATTTCCCAAAAGTGGTATTAGAGCTAATGGTTTGACCAAATGACTGGTGATCAGCTCAAACGAGTACTGATCAATAAAATTAGCAATGGATGAATCCAAGAGTGAGATCGTGAATAATGCAATTGACAGGAAATTCACGAGTGGGATCATCCCTTATACTGAGAGCCACTCTAGGGGTGTGGAGGACGTGTGCTATTGATGTGCAATGATAGTGTAAGTAAGACCATCATTGAATACTCATGGACGAAAAAAAAGACTTTCGCTTGAGGGAGATCATGACCATGTGGAAGAGATTTATACTTGAGAGAGAGTGTTGGAGTTCAAATGTGAAATGAAATCTCACATCGATTAGAGTTCGACATGTTGAATAATATATAAGTGAGAAAAACTCACCTACCTAATACCTTAAGGTTTTAAGTTATGTTGTAGTGTCAAGTTCACTTATGTGATTTATTCACTATCCATTAAATAGAGTGTTCTCCAAGGTAAAACTCCCCAACAGCTATGAAGCCTAGATACTTAGTATGATACGGGGATAAGATACGTTAAAAAAATGGAAAATTTTATATAAATATAAAATATTGGTAAAATAAAAAAAAGAGAGAAATGTGTCTCTGTAAAGTACGCATATTAACTTTTAAAAGGTTTTTTCTATTAAAAAATATTAAAACTAAAAATAAAATTTTTAAAAATATTAATAAAATGAACATTTGGGTAAAAAAAACGTATCCAAATCGCCTCACATGTTATAAAGCTGTATCCAACTATTATGAGCCGTATTCAATAATTTTTAAAAAGAATTATTGGATACTCCTTAGATACATATTCTGACGTATCCAAGCCATATCGGTAGGGATGGCTTTTTTTTAAGTAGTATATTAAAACTTATCATTTAAAATTCATGGTGAAATTATAACAATTTTTATTGCTTTAATTTTTGTATCTAACATATAGTGACAAATTTAAACTAAGTTTACATAATTTAGTATAATCATTCACACTTAATTGATTACAAGAATAACAATTATATTGTAATTGATATTAAATTCACACTTAATGAAAATTAATTATAAAGGCATATTCAATAATTAGATTTCAATTAGTTAAATTATACTACTATACCGATTAACCTAAAAACCAATTATTTGATGTCTTTAATAATTATATTTAATATGCAAAAAATCATATGCACTAACAAATGATCAGTGATATGTTAAAAAATTATATATTTTATATATGTGATTTATGTTTTTTTTAATTATTATATTAAAAAATCATTTTAAATTCATGGTGAAATTATAATATTTTTATCTATTTAATTTTTTTATCTTTCTATTTTTAACAAATCCAAACTAGTTTTGTATATTTAAGTATAATAAATAGGACTATCGGCGATGGATACTCTAGGGACAAACAAAAAAATATAATAAATAGGAAATAAATCGAAAACAATATGGTAAATTGATAATTTAATAATTGAAAGTGAAAACAAGAAATGAAAATAAAAAACATTTTCTCAAAGTAACTAAACCCTAAAATTTCTAACTGTTGTTACTAACTATTTATTGAAAAATTCCGAGGTTAATTTGTAATAAATTTTGGGCTACTAAGGGTAATAGATAAAATGATTGTGCTTCAAGGTTTAGGCTTAATTCAAAAAAATTCAACAGTTATATTCTAACTGATATTGAATTCACATTTAATGATAATTGATTATAAATGCAAATCTTATAATTAGACATCTAAAAAACTATTTAATGTATTTTAATTATAATTAATTGTATATTTATTAGACAATATAATATACCGTATTTATTTCACACTTATTTTTAAATAATTTTATCAACAATTATTAATCGTATGTAATTATATTATATTTTAAATAATTATTCAAATTTATAGATATATATCAACTTAGTTATATTTAATTAAAAAAATTATTTCAATTAATTAAATTATATCATTATACTATTTAACCTAAAAACCAATTATTTAATATCTTTTAATTATATTTAATTTTTGAAGAATTATAATGCACTAACAAATAATTAGTAATATGTTAACGAATTATATATTTTATACATTTGGATTATATTTTATTTTTTTAAGCATTATATTAAAACATATTATCTGAAAATCATAGTAGAATTATAATATTTTTATCGCTTTAATTGTTTTTATCTTACATATTCTTTTGAAATTTAAATTAATTTTATATATTTAATTACAATCATACACACTTTGTAACGACCCGCCATGATCTTTACACTTAGTGGAATCGCACTACTACTAGTGAACTAAGAGAAATATTAAGTTAGATAACTCATACATACAGGTATAGATAAGAATAAAAATAACTAAGTTGCTGGTTATAAAATAGAACACCATATATATACAGTCATCCCAAAAATAATATGACTCTAGTGTCGGTCAAGTACAGACGAAATCGTTACCCAAAATGGTAACTCTAACACAAGGATCAAATTCCTCGTCTCGCAACGGTCACCTCAACTCCAAGCTATCCCTAACCTGCTCTCATACCAAGTATGATCATCGCAGTCCCACCACATGGAAACAGAAGGATAAGCTAGAGTTCAAAACCAGTCATACAAGTACAGAATAAAATCTATATTACATATCATCCAACTATCAATCATGTTCATTTAGCTAGTGCTCTAGGGTCCAATCCTTGTTTTATATAATTGTTCTTATAACTTTTACATTACCGTTTTAATTTTGCCTCACATTAGCTCAGTTCCAATCATATCAACATCTCTATATTAATCATTAGAGTAAGAATTACTAAATTCTCAAATCCCTGAGGACGATACTTAAATACTACATCGAAACTTGGTCCGCTTGCCAAGTGGAGAGATTGCGAAAATCTTCATCACCTTCCTCCTGGTTGCAAGAGTATAAGTTGTAAATGGGTTTTTCGGAAAAAATTGAGAACATATGGCTCCATAGATAAGTTTAAGGCAAGACTTGTTGTTATTGGTTATAAACAAGTAGAAGTTGTAGATTTCTTTGATACATACTCTCCTGTTTCTAAAGTTACTACTATTAGAATTTTAATTGCACTAGCATGTGTTTTTAATTTGGAAATTCATCAAATGGATGTAAAAACTGCCTTCTTAAATGGTGACTTGGAAGAAGAAATTTACATGAATCAACCTGAAGGTTTTATAGAACCTGGAATGGAAAATAAAGTTTGCAAGCTTGTTAAATCCTTGTATGGTTTAAAACAGGCTCCCAAACAATGGCATGATAAATTTGATCAAGTTGTTTCTTCATATGGATTTCAGTTTAATAATAGTGATAAATGTGTTTATGTGAAACAATTTGATGATAATTCATGTGTTATTTTATGTCTCTATGTGGATGATATTTTAATCTTTGGTAGTAATCTACATGTTATAAATGATGTGAAGTCTTTCTTGTCTAGTAATTTTGAAATGAAGGATCTTGGTCTTGTTGATGTTATTTTAGGTATTAAGTTGATTAAGAATCATGATGGTATTGTTTTGACACAATCACATTATATTGAAAAATTGTTAAAAAAGTTTAATTATTTTGATGTGAAACCAGTTTCTACCCCATTTGATCCTAGTATTAAATTGAAGAAAAATATTGGTGAAAGTGTCTCTCCTCTTAAATATTCTCAAATTATTGGTTCCTTGTTGCATTTGTCTAATTTCTCAAGACCGGACATTGCATATATTGTTGGTAAGTTAGGAAGATATACTCATAATCCTGATCATTCACATTGGCTTGCTCTAGAAAGGTTATTTAGATATCTCCAAGGAACTATTAATTATCGCATTCACTATGCATGTTATCCTGTGGAATTTAAAGCCTTTTGTGATGCAAATTGGATTTCTGACTCTGATGAAACTAAATCTACTAGTGGTTATGTTTTTACTTTAACTGGAGGTGAAATAGCTTGGAAATATGCAAAACAAACTATTATTTCTTATTCTACTATAGAAGTTGAAATAATTGCCTTAGATACTGCTAGTAGTGAGACTGAATTTCTTAAAAATTTACTATATGACTTGCCATTATTAAATAAACCTATACCTCCAATCTCAATGCATTGTGATAGTCAAGTTGCCATTGCTAAAGTTGCTAGCAAAAACTTTAATGAAAAAAGAAGGCACTTGAGAATAAGACACAAATCTATTAGAAATTTGATAACTCATGGTGTTATTTTTGTTGATTTTATCAGGTCTGAAAATAATCTTGC